CTATCATGAGGCCAGATATCGAGCTCCCGGACTTAGCCCTGGTAACCTACGGCCTTGGATGGACCATCCACTCGTATTGTGGCGAGGTGGTTGTTGAGCACAGCAGCGTGCAGCCGGGCTTTGGCGCGGGGGTGTTCTTCCTGCCGGGACAACAGTTTGGCGTGGCATTGTTCAACAATAACATGATAGGAGGGGGTGCCGCGACGCAGGTGCTGGTCTGCCATCTGATTGACAAGTTCCTGGACACGCCCCTGGACAAGCAATTTGACTGGGTGTCCTAGGGCAAGCAGCTTGTGCCCAACACGACTGTCACTCTGGAGCAGCTCCGCTGGCTATATCTATCTGTGCCTGATCCTCTGCTTCCTCCAGTGGATGACCTCTCTGCGTATGCTGGCGTCTACGAGCACCCTGCGTATCTAATGCTGAACATCACCGCTAACTGCCTGCCCTTGTTGGCAGCGTTTCTGCCCCCATTCCTGCATAGTCAGAACCTAGCTGACTCTGAAAGGATCTGTATCCTATCGCTATTTAATTATAAAGACTGCCCCGTCAAGCTAGTCCACGTGTCAGGTAATTTTTGGGTGCTGGGCACCAAGCTCTAGGGGGCGACACTACTCAGACAGGCAGAGTTCTGTCTAGGTCCAGATAGACAAGTGCGTCAGCTGGGGGTTGAGCTAGAGCCGGCGATGACTGAGAAGATCTGGTATAGACGACAGGAGGGACTAGGAAGGTATCTGGCATGTGACCAGGCTGGCCCTAGCAGGCTCAGAAGCTGGGATGGTATATATCGACCATCGAGTTCATCGTTAAGATGATGAAACTGCCTGCACAGGTATACCTTTAATAAACCACGATCTGTGCGCATTCCTAGAATCTGCAAGGCTTCCTTTGATATAGGTCCTGACGTTCCTGCTGATCCTTATTAACAACCATCCCGATAAACATCAAACAGCCCATACTTGTGCTCCAGATACCATAAATAAAGCAGATATTTCCTCTGAATCATTTCAGCAGTTGCATGTAGTACGCTCTGCATGCTCTGGCTTATTGTATGAAAATGCCCGTATTCCGTTTAGGTATGTCTGTACAGCACCGTATATACAGACAAATGCAGTATTCTATAAATAAAATAATACGTCTTGTATTATCTGTGGATGAATTAAAATAGCACACTGCAGTTTTCTTCTGAAGTGTTTCAGCATTACTTGACGACAGGATCATTGCCATCTATCTACCGATGGAAGCACAGAAACATGCATTCTCTGTGTCAGACTGACTTGTCGTAGGGGTCAAAGAAGGCAGTACGTACATATGTACAGTGGGCGTTTAGCCAATTTTTGAATCACGTGAGATCGCCTATATTACCCCTCCCACTACCCCTCCCTTGCTTCTATATTTTTACCTATAATATCTATCATACCTAGCAAACTAAAAACCTTAAGAAGGCAGCATTCTTCTAAGACTATTATTATTATTTTGAAGCTTTTGTCACGCGCTGGCCCCAACTGTAGTCGTCAATACTTAACAAGGGTGGTTAGGGAAGGATCAAGGAGTCTTCCTGACTCTCATGTTGTTCATGAGCACGCAACAGTCTACCTAACCCACATCTCTATCCCTTAGAGACAAGACCTAACTGGCAAAGGGCTCTTCCATAAACAACCTAAACATAAGGGTCTCTCACAGGAACTTCCAAGTGTGTGATGAGGGTACTCCACTGAATAAGAACAACAACAACTAGTTACTAGACTCCCAGGCAGCAATAGATCGGCTTCGACATCAGGGAATAAGCCCTGGACAGGGTCTAGCCATCCGGGCCCATAGAGCTGCTCAGGCTCTAGAAGCACGAGGCAGACAGACAACAATCCAATGGGTCCCTGGGCACCATGGCATTGAGGGGTATGAGAGGGCAGACCAGGCGGCTAAGCGGGCGGCAGCAAAGACCCTCAGGGGAGGGCCTAGTGAGCTCTCTATAGCCTATACCAATGGGGCTCGTACAGAAGCAATCAGGGCTC